GTGTGTGTGTGTGTGTGTGTGTTTGCGTGTGGGTGTAATAAATGGTTGTGTGATTCAGATAAGCCGTGCTCTTATCTGCCCACCAGGGGGTTGACCTCCACCCATTACAGCGCACCAGCCGACCATCCATTCACCGCTGTCACACCAGCCCTTTGTGTGTGTGTGTGTGTGTGTGTGTGTGTGTGTGTGTGTGTGTGTGTGTGTGTGTGTGTGTGTGTGTGTGACTGGGTGAATAGCTAACTGGCCGGAGGGGGAGGTGCGTCGCCCAGAGATGCTTGTCGGATCTCTGTTGGGACCACAGATATTGATCTAACCTCTCCACCTCTCCCCCTCTCCTCCCAAACTCTCCTCCCCTTGTTCCTTTTATTGTCTCTCTCTCTCGTTCTCTTGTCTCCTCGTCCTCTCGTCTCCTGGACGTCTGCAGCACCAGCAGCAGGTCCTGGCGGCCATAGAGCGGGCCAAGCAGGTCACCCCCCCAGAGATGAACTCCATCATAAGGGTACGATGTTCCAGCCCCCAGCCCTACCCAGGGGGCCTCATGATGGTTAGAAAAGTGCACTTATTGATCCCTGTGATCGATGCTATTGTTTTCTCTAATGATATTTATTTATTGTTTGTGAAGTGCAACAGAAAACGCTCTCGGCTGCTTTTGTGCGCTCGGCGTCGATGGACGGACCCTCCCTAAACCCCCAAACCACAGCTTTCTCCTCCTCTGTGCTTTAACCAGCAGTGGGATATTAAAAAACCAGGATTTACAATCAGTAGCTAATGAATTTATTTTAACCGGCCCGTCCCTAATGTAAATCACTGTGGTGAACACACATTAGTGACCAGGCTGTCATAGTCGATGTCAGCCATGTTTTGTTTATTCAAATTAATTACGAGGAGATTTTTAAAGCACTTCTCCGGAGATATATTATTAAAGTTCAATAAAGGGGGCGCTTGTGAAAGCAGGATTTTAAAACGCGTTGTTGTCAGAATGGAGCATCAGAGGTTAGAATACGGTGACGGAGAGTCTCTGGTGCTGGTCCAGAAGCACTGACGTCCCCTCAGACCTCCTGGTCTGGTGCAGCTTCACTTCTCACCGAGGTTTTTATTAGATCTGAGGTTAGTTTGAGACAATCCTGAGGAAGGTAGTGTGCCATCATCATCATCATTATCTTCTCCAGTTTTCCCAGACTGACCAGTACTCATGAAGCTTTTATGTGTGGCTCAGTGCACTGACTCTTTAAATGTCTGATTTTAATTACTGCCGTTCACAATAAATCATTTTATTTAATTGAGCGTAGAAACATACGGTAGATTTAAAAATATGACTCATCTACACTTTGTTTAATTAATTACTTTAACGTCATCGTATGAGCTGTGAAAATGTAAAACTAGTTAAATTAACCTGAGAAACTTGTTTAATAAACGGACCACAGTCGGTTCAATCAGCTAGTCGTAGTGCTCACATACTGGTCTGCTGTTAAGTTTAAAGAGTTTCGTCTCCATTTAACCCTAAAAACACTTCTGTTGTTATTTTTAAACCAGAATCAAGACAAAAACTATTTATGTTACAGAAAAATAAATGATTAGGAGTAGAGTCATGTCATAGTTAGAATCATCTTGATTCTCATAAAAATAAAAAATAAAATACCATAACTTAATTCAACAAACAGTGTGTTTCCATCATGTCTGTTTTCTGAACCTATAACCAGGAGTTAGTGAGAGGTTTCATTCTTTACTGAAGCACTAGAACCAAACCAAACGTATGTATTTACATTAAACAAACCAGAAAAGAAGATTTCACAAGATTCCTTCAGATTTTTTCACCGTGAATCCGATGATGCCCTCCATCGGTCAGCACGTCAGAACAATTACAGATCAATAGAGCTAGCTCGCTAGCTAAAATCTGAATCAATACAGATCAGACATTAGCCCGCTAACCACCATCCTTCATGTCTGTGGCTTTAAAGTTACCCAGCAGCATTGTGTTAGCACGCTTAGCTCCTCCATCACTGTACCAGAGGTTCAGCATGAGCTAGCTTAGCCGCTCCATCACCTTACTGCGGGCCTAGTGTTAGCTAGCTTAGCTGCTCCATCATCTTACTGCAGGCCTAGTGTTAGCTAGCTTAGCCGCTCCATCACTGTGATCCATGATTCACGGCGGCGCCTGGCTTCAGTCTTGGTGTCTGCTGCTGTAGATGCAGAGGATAGCGGCCTGTTTAAGTGTTTCAGGCTGATTCTCTCAGTAAAGAGCCGTGCAGCTGAAGACTTTCCTTCGCGGGGCGCTCCCATCATGTATAATTCTGGTTCTGAGCGTGAAGCCGAGCTGCTGACTCTGTAGGTGTAGCGGCGGGAAGCTGGTGCCGTTAGATGCTGTTGATGAGGAATCAGTCAGAGCTGTCATCAGAATCAACCCACTGATGCGTCACCGTGCTGAGTGTGTACGACGCGGACTGATGGAAATATTCAGGCTTGGCAGCAACAGTTTGTCTTTCTGTGTGTTAAAATAAAACCCGTGTGTCCTGTGGTGGTTTATGTATATTTTTACATTTTATTTTTGACCACATCTGTCCCCTTCAGGACAGTTTCTGCTCTACGCTGAGCTCTCCTCCTACACGTGTGTTTTTTTGCAGTTCTATATATTGAAAATTGCATCTATTATAAATAAGTAATGTGTGCTGCAGCCTCTCCATCTCCCTCTAAGCATGTATTTTAGCAGTGATATGCGCGTTCCTTCTCTCCTATTGTGCCTCCACTATTAGCGCCGCGCCTCAGGGGTTATCTATTAAACATAAGTTGTGATTTATAGCCGGTCTGTGCGTCGCAGCCTTTGCATTTGCGTCTGTGTTGTGCTGTGATGTGTGCGCTGCTCCGTCCTGCTGTGTCTAAGTTGTGTCTGGTTGTCTTCCATGCAGCAGCAGCTCCAGGCTCACCAGCTGTCCCAGCTCCAGGGCCTGGCCCTGCCGATGACCCCCCTGCCGCTGGGCCTGAGCCAGCCGACCCTCCCCGCCGTCACCACCTCCTCCGGCCTCTTCTCCCTCTCCTCCCTGCTGGCCTCCCAGGCCCAGCTGGCCAAGGAGGAGAAAGCGTCTCGCGACGGCGTCGACAGCCACCGCGAGGAGGACGGAGACAAGTCCGACTAGATGGCGTCCCCCCCGTTCAGCTCTGTTTTTATCCAGAGACCCGAATCACCAGATCCGAGCCCCCTCTGGCCTACAGCCTCCCCCCGGTCTCCCTCTCTTTGACCTTACTTAACATGGGCTTCAATCCCATTAGCACAGCTCCAGCTTCAGAACCAGTCCCATTACTGGGAGAGCTTTGGCACCTGCCCCCCGACCTCCTCATATCTGCCACACTTCCTGTATCTGCCTTTCTTTCTGTCACCGTCTCCCTCTGATGGCTTCTCTTCAGATGCTCCCTCTGGTCCTGTTTGTGATGAAGCTGCATTTCTCCAGCGTTTTTTATTTTTTAAACCAGGAATACTTTCTCTTTCTGTTCCTTCCTTCCTGTTGCTGTCTCTCACTTCTTATTCCTGTTTTTTCCTCCTCCCTCCCTCTTGCCTCTGTTCTTTGCAGGTCCGTGTTAGGCAGGACCGATCTGTGAGACGGAACCGCTCCGTAGGCGTTAAAACAGGCAAACTGTTCGGGATTCGCTGGCAAGCGGTACATCTTGTCAGACACAACACAGGATTCCTACAAACTTCATTTTGCTGAGATGAAAGGTCTCGCAGGCGTTTCAGATTGCATGCATTCGTCCCGAGCTAGAAGTGAGCGTTTGAATCAGGCCCTCTGTAAAGTCAGAACTGTCCCCCGAACCTAAAACCTTCTGCGACCAGGAGACGTCTGTGGATTTAGTTGTGAACCTAAATGTATAAGCAGGAAGTTAAAGCACCTTCTGAGATCCAACTTCACGCTGACGGCTCAGTTTAAAACAAACCGAGTGTTCGTCCCCCGATTTACGATCCCCGCCTGACCCGGATAAATCCACCCGGCACCTTAACGAGAGGCCTCGTTAAACAGAGCCGAGGTAGCGCGACGAGAAAGAAAAAAGAAAAAAGAAAAAAGCAGCCGTGACGCCACTGCGCCCTCCCACCGCCTCCTTCATCTTTAATGTGCACTAACACTGACGCTGTGGGGAGACGGAGCGTGATGTCGGCTGTTTGACAGCAGAGGGCAGCGTGTGTCTCTGAAGCATCCTCGGTTCAGACTCCAGAACAAGGACAGAGTCCAGGCTGTGGCACCGCCGGGCTCATTGATCCACTCTGAGTGAACAGAACTTCATATACAGACGCTGGACCGGTGGCGTTAGTCTCTGCATGCAGTCGGTCCCGGTCTCTGCTCCGATCCAGTTCTCGGGCTCTGGTCTGTTCTGGTCTTTTAAAACGCTCTCTTTCACGGAACAAACAAAAACAGCATCTCTGCAAATTCCCATTTAAATTCTGTAGGTTCTGTTTCGCTGCACATTCGGGTTCGTCGCATATTAAACACGATTTAACGCCGACACGGGACACGTGAAGCACAAACGGATCTCATAGCTGCTAGAATGTGTTCAAATAAAGCAGAACATCCTGAAAGGTCCTGCTCGCTCCACAGGCGTGGTCAGACCGGACCTCTGGTTGGCTGGTTTTATGTGTCATGGTCGACGGTGTTCTGGTGGGTGGAGCAGACAGAGACGTGATCCGACTGGAGCTGAAGTAATTCAACATTGATCTGTAATTATTGTGATTGGTCGGTCATTTTTCAAAATGACAAAACTTTTGATTGTTTCTTGGACTTGATAGGAAAGCGTCCGATGTTGTGTAGCTCCAGGAGGAGACCCGATACGTCTGAATGTTAAACTGAACAACGTTTGCATTCCTGAAACTGGAACGATGCAGCAAGAAAACCAGCAGAGAGTCAAAGTCTGTAGAAGATCCGACTCTCCTGCTCTGCACAGAATCTGGAAAAGTCTTACTGTTAGACACGACAGATAATTTGGCTTGTTTTAAAAGTAGTTTACTCATTTTTTGATTTTTTTACAGCATAATCTTAAATTGAGCTGATTTAAGTTTAATGTACTTGCTGCATGGACGGATAATTTAAGTCGTTTTCTCCTCATATCTTATATGTGAGCTGCTCTTTTCTGCAGACGAGCTCTGATCAGGCAGCATGAAGGAGCTTTAACCCGTCAGTCACAATTAAATCATCTGCTTCCTACAGGTTGAACTTTTAGGACGTAGAATCAGCGGCGATCGAACTTCTGATCGTGGACGTATTATTTGATCAGCTTGACAACAGGCTGCGTTTAAAATTCAGTTTGTCTTTCTTGGCCTTCTCGGTTTTCCAAGCGGAGCCACTTTCATCTAAATTAATTTGGGATAAAACGGCATAAAGATGAAGCACATTTTCCCACAAACCCTCAGATCCGTGTGCAGGTTCGATAAACTCCACACGAGGAGCGATGACCTGCTGTCGCCTCCCGTGTGTGCAGGTGATGAACCAGGTGATCTGTCGCTAAGCTAACGCGCTAACCTGCTTGTGAATGAAGCTCACAGCACGTCGTCCTCCCATCCACACACACACACACACACACACACACACACACACACACACAGCGTATGCATCCGGCTGCTGTCCTGAACGCGTAGACAAACCAACACATCGATGCATGTCTGCTGGGGGGAGGGGAGCCGACATCGAGACGATTTTATAACAAAAAGCAGAATGTCTGATCCAACCTTTGTGTGATGGATGCACTTCCTGTTTCCTTTCTCCTCCTCCCACCTCGTCCCCACTTTGCTTTGGTTTTGTTTTTTAGATATTAATCGATAGAAGGAGAATTACCAGAGCTGACGTTATAAACATACAAATGAGATTCTATGTATTTGTTCCAGTAGTTGGAGGCCTGCCTCCCTAAACAGTTCTACATAGAAAGCTTTATGTGTATATGGCTGCATCTTCTCTGTCTGTCCTCGATGATTCTTGTGCTGTTGTGTTACAAAACCGATGTGACACCAGGGGGGTAAATCTGCAGTACGTTGACCTTTTGTTGCCCCTTTTGACCCCCTTCTTCCTCCTTCTCTCCCCCCCTCCGCCCCCTGACCCCTTTAAAGCCCGCCTCCCCGCCGATCCCGACTCTTTGCCCTCATAGCGTGAAGCATTGTAAGCGTTTTGAGCTTTGTAAAGGTCTTTTTTTAAATACTTATTTTGTGTATAATGTAAAACCTACAAAAAAAAAACAAAAAAAAAAGTGTGTACTTTGGCAAAAAAGAAAACAAACAAAAAAAAGTTTTGTGTCTGAAATCATAGCTTCATTTAAACCAACAAAAACAAGAAACTATAAAAAAACAAACATTTACTATAAATAATATGAAATGTTCTGCAGTAAGGAAGGACTTCTGGTGCCTTACAAATAAAGTCAATCAAATCATGACAAACCTTCTGCTCCCTCTGGACTCGTTTGTTCTCACAGTTTGAACACAAACTCTGCTGCTCCTGGTTCAAGCCTCTGCTGTCATATGGAAACCCCAACCCTGAACCCGAACCCAATCCCTAACCCTAAACCCAACCCTGACCCCTAACCTAACCCCTAAACCTAATGCTAACCCCAACCCCAACCCAGACCCGAACCCTAACCTAACCCAATCCCTAACCCTAAACCCTAACCTGAACCCGAACCCGATCCCTAACCCCAAACCCTAAACCCAAACCCAAACCCCTATCCCTAACCCAAACCTGAACCCTTTATGGGTGTGGTAGTCTCAGCAGGAGGCTCAGACTAAACGCTGCCAGCTTCGTGTGTTCCTCACTTAGACTCTTTTTCCCAAAGCAGAGCAGATGATTGTTCTCAGAGTTCTTCAGGCTTTGCTTCCAGTCCATCCTGAGGTGTGTGCAGATAGAAAACCTGGTGATTCATCACAGCGAAGCCACGAGTTAACCGTGACGCCAGCGTTTTTATTATTTCTTATGATAACTGCTTCCAAAGTGTTGAAGAGACGTTTAGAAGTTTCTGCAGAGTCGAAGCTGAAACAGGAACCTCCAGCTTTGGACATAATGACCTTAAACATCGTTTTGTGTCTCTTCCTTTGTGGCTCTTGAGGAGTTTCTTCCTCAGGTTGAATCGTTGGACGCTGTTTTGTCGTTTTCTCGCTGTGTGTCTTCATTAGAAACTTTCTGTTTTCTTGTCATTTTGCAATTCTGAGAAAAAAAACCTCAAAATTCAGTTTGGATTAACTTCAGACGGCTCACATGCAGCTCGTGCACCAGATACTAGTGTCAATTCTAATCCTATTTTAAACATAACTTCCTGCATGTGTTGAATTCTACGACTTTTTTTCAGGTCTTTTAGAAGATGCTGTAATTATTTAACTACTATGATAAAAATTGAAGCTCAGTTATCAACACTGAGGTCCTGTTGTGTAGATTCTATATCTGGTCTGGTTATTATTCCTGAAGCTGTAAGGTTTTATGTCCTTGTGTCTGGATTCTAGTTTCCAACAGACTGAACTTCTTCTTCAGCTCTGACCGACGTGTTCGAGTTTAGTCGCACCTGAAAGTGAAAAAAAAGCCTGAATGTGGTTTTAGAAAACGGTCACATCTCGCCGCCCTGCAGACGCTGATTGTGTCGGAGATGAGCTTCGCCCGGATGTCGTGGAATTGTAGGTGTTTAAATTTCAATCTCAGAATGAGAATCAGATGGAACTTTATTATTACCAAAGAAAAGCCTTTTTTCTCCAGGTGTTGCTCAGAAGAAGAAGAAAAGAGCAAAATAGGACAGAAGTAAGATTTTTCTTTGTACTTTGAGAGTTTCTCATGTGTGTAAAGCAACAGAATGAACTTTTATTTTTATTATTATTATTATTATTATTATTGTTATTGTTATTATTATTATCTGAACAGGAAAGAATTGATCAAATAAAGTCATGTAAGAGTTACAGGATCACACTTCTGGGATAATTTATTAATATTTTATTTACATTTTGTTTGTTTGTTTTATTACTTTTGATTATATGTTTTAAATATTTTACGCTTTTCTGTTTTGTTTTTTTAACATTTTATTCACATTTTTCTGGCATTTTTAAAACATTTTATTCAGCTTTAAGAATTTTATTATCACACTTTGATAACTAACTGAGACTTTTGGACATTTATAAAACATTTTGATTAATTTTATGATATTTTTCTGGTTTTCAAACGCTGACGATTCGATGTGGTTTCATCTGGTCGACATAAATCAGATCCTGAACTTGTGAAGTTTTGCTCTTCATGACGACAGACAATTAAAACGGTAATCCAACGGACCTATTAGCACCACTTTATTAAATACCAGGTTGCAAGATAAGAATTCAAATCAGAGAAATGAGACGAACCTTCTAGCTGGTGAACAGTGTTCTGATGAGTTGTGTAATTACACCAGCTCCACATCAGGTGTAATTTAAAATGTTTTTGTGTTAATTGACTTTAAACACAATTAAAGTTGTAGTAAATGAATTAAATTGACCAGAAAACTTTGATTTCAGGATTTTAAGTCCTTCAAAATTTGTGTTTAATTCAATGGTTGAACAGAATTTTATTAGAAGTTAAATAAAAGATGAAAACTGTTATTTTTCTTTTGTTGAGCCGAAAAGTTTGAGACAGAAGGAACCACATTTAGGTCCAACATCAGAGTCTAGAGGATGAATAGCTCCAGCAGCTTTCAGATAAATGACCCGGTGACGTTTTTTTTTGAGTAAACACAGGAAGTCCTGTGTGGAGGGCTGAATTCAAACAGGATGTGATGTCGCGCGGCTGCCCGAGGCGTCCTGCAGTTCGCTGCAGCGCCACCAGGAGGAGCTGTTGCTTTATGCTGAGCAGCAGCAGCACTGGAGGAGGCAGCAGCAGGTAATTGGTGTGAGCTATTCTCACATGCGTCCCTGTGTTTGTGGTGTTCTTTACCCGGCGCTGATGAGGATCCTCTATTCTGCTCGGCGTGTCCCAGAGCTGCTGTGACTGGAGGTCGCGACCTGTCGGCGCCGCCTCATGATCCTCATTCAGACGCTCTGGTTGCCAGTTTGGACTCCTGTTTGTTGCTTCCTTATTCACACGCTGATGGGCAGCTGGATGCACATCTGGTTCAGGTTTTTCTCTCCTCGTCTCTTCTCTCTGCGTCTCTGCTGAAGCCTCCCAGTTCCTCTGGCTGCAGCCCTTCTTCCTCCTCCTGTCTCCCCACAGACAGCTCTGGATCTGACACTTAAATAAATATGAAAGTGCCCTATTTCTTCCTCTTTCTGTCTGAGGATTCACACTCTGCTCTCAAGCAGCAGCAGCAGAGCAGAGAAAGGAAGCTTCCTCTCATCTGCTGTTTCTTCTGCGATGCACATTAAAGCATGTAGAGGGCAAACAAAGCTCTAAAATCAGACCGGGGTTGTTTAATTAGTGGCGCCTTAAAGGGTGAAGCTGGTGTTGCTCCATAGTTTTCTTAGTGTGAACAAATCTGGATAAATAGATCCACCAGTAATTACTTCTTATCAGAGCTTCTTCCTCTGAGACGCTTTAGTCCAGAAACAAACAAAAACAATCCGTTTGTTGAACACGAAGCCGCCCGCGATGGAAGAAGTCCGTCTGTGGTTACAGAACATGTTTCATCCAACAAGCTCCAGCAGCTCCTCTGACGTCAGACCACCAGCTGCAGGTCTGTTCAGTCGTTACCTTCTTGTCTCTGAAGACGTTCCTCTGGTGGAGACGACTTTCAGAGGAAACGTGATGAAGCATCATCTGATCTCACTGTGGTCTGAAAACATCTCAGGTGCTTCAAATCATCAACAGCTAGAAGATTTTAAAGTTGTTTCAGTTCATCAGATAGAAAACCATCATCTGTTCAGATTCTTTAAAAAATGTTTTATTTCAGTTTTAATTTCCATAAACTAGACGTTGGTTTTACACGTCTGATGTAAAGCAGCATAAAAACCTACAAATCTGAATGACCATAAAATAAATTAACTGTTTCTAAATGTTAAAAGTTTTTTACTATTTCAGTTCATTTTATTTTCATCTATTAGATAAAACTTTTAAATTAAAGCTTAAAACTGTGTAATTCTCACAGATTTGTTTCTTCAATGAAAAATTAAACCTATTTGTTTGTTTGTTCTGACCGACTTTGTAAAACACCTCTGATCTAAGTATCATTATTATTTTATTGTTGTTTATATGATTTTTATTTCATGTCAAACAGGAAACATTAAAGTCTAAATTGATTTTTTCCAACATATTTAAAGAACAAACATCTCGTCCTCTTTGAAACAGCACCGACTGGTGAAGATGACGGACTAAAATAAATAACTTAGAACATTTACATTTTGTATTTTAAATTTTAAATATATAAAAACAGAACAGGAGGGTCACTTCCTTCATTTCAGAGGTTGCTTAAGGAGAACCTTGTACCTGGAGGATCCATGAGAAGGTCCAGAGCAGCTGGGATGAGTTTTCTACCAGAGAAGCAGAAGAAGACTCTGGAGGCGGCAGCAGCGAGAACTTTGGAGGAAGCTGATCAGCTTGTGTTCTGATTTGCTGTCACACGAGAGCGAGAAGTGTGAAGATCCATCCTGTAAGAAGGTGTGAGGACGTTCTTCTCTGAAGGTATTTGTGTGGAAACTCTTAGCGGCTGATGTTGTGGCTGTGAGACCGTACTGATCATCTCTGTGTTTAATACGTCTCACTCTGGACTCAAACTGTAACCAGCCTGCAGGACATTAATCACTGATTGTCTTTTTTTCAGCTCTAAAACTTCTCCTCATTTTGAAGTTATTTTCTGTTTTGCTGAACGTCGCTGCTGAGTTGCAGCGCTGCAGTAACGGAGCTACGATAACGGTCATAAATGCAGCTCCTGAGCTGTTTTTGGATGTTTTTTTAGTCTAAGTCTGCATTTGTAGATTCTAGCTGCATATTTCTGGATGTTGTTGGGATTTCGTAGATCAGGTTCGCTCCATTCCAGCTGCTACGACTTGTTTCCCTCCACAGGTCTTGAGGGAACATTAGTTTTAGATCTTTCTTATACCAACCTGTTCCTCTGTACCCTAAAGTCTGCTGATGCTTCAACCACCATCGGCTCTGACTGGGAGTTTAGGTTTTGTCGAGCCAGCTAACACAGAGAAAGCCTGGTTATGTTGAACTGTTCCGGCCTTACGACCACGATGTATTCAGAAGTTGTTCAAACTGAGGCGGCTCCGTCCGGTCAGGAAGCCATCCTCTGGATGCAGACTGTGTGCATCA